TTTTTTTTGGAGAAATCCATACCGATCTGATGTAAATTGTAAAGAAAACTTCAGGATACGTCCACATTAATGTTATTTTGTGTTTAAATTAAGAATAAAAGTACACGAAAATTTAATATCCTCTTCTTATAATCAATATTTATCTCTCGATATAACACGATATCGACATAAAAAGGAATTGTGTAATACTTATTCCATCACTATTTCGTATGGTTTATAATTGTGTTTTTCACAAGTATTTTACAATACACAAATCCACTTCTTGTTCAATTTTATTTTATGTTATTTGTGTACAAACAATGAGTTCTAACAAAGTATAAGATATTTCAAAATTCATGCCTAAATGTCAGCATTTAAAAATTTACAATCATGAATGTAGCTCAATTATAATGGAGCAAATTTTTGCATAATAGTAGTAGGTACTGAATAATACTTAAGTAAGTGAAATCATTTTGTATTTTACAAAACACTTAATATGGAATTAAAACTTTATTAATTTAAGATACCCTGACAACAATGGGTCATCATGTCCAAACAAATCAATAACAAAATAATTATAAAAATAGAATTGCATGTAAAATTTAAATCTGCAATAAATCAGAACACAACAGGTAAAAAAAAATGCAGTCATTCTTGACTCCAAAAGACTGCAAAACCTGTGACTGAAACTACCCCTATTGAAATTGCTGCATGGGTTGTAAATGGTTTTTCAATTTCCCCCCAAAAAATCATATCTTCAATTTCCCAAAAAAAATCATATCATACTTTGCACAGAAGAATAAATGTTGGCAATAAAAAATGCCTATTCTTTTTACATGTACATCTATTAAGACACACTAAGCCACTGACAGAGAAGCCTCACTCGCCCACAAGCAAGAGCAAAAGGATCGGTCATAGACACCACCCTTCTCTTACTTGGGTATCAAGATCTGCAACTTACTGCCAGCAAAGCTCTTTCAGACCACCCGTATATTGTTTCCCAAGTATTTCCACAATAGATGTCCATGCACTAATTATCAACTTGAAAAAACATGGCAATAAATCAGAGATTAAAAAGGTATGTACATGTGTGCGACACAATAAGCCAGTCGATATGGTATCAATAAAAATATGATAGCTTTTAAATCTTTAACCCAGTACAGTAGATACTTTATGTTGACTGTGTAAAATACAACACCAAAAAAAATCTTTTATATCATTTGGTTATGTCAATTCAAATTAAAGAAACATCATCACAATTACACAAAATAGTAACAGCTGATAATTTGTCTCTAATACCCCATATTTGTTCCAACTTCTAGGTTTATTGCTTGATGATTATAACTTTTAACATATCCTCATTTTACATTGGAATGCAAGAAATTTTGATAGTGATATTTTTTTCAGTCATCAATCTTCTACACTTTGCTTCAAAATTTCAAGAATGAGCTCGGAAACATGTACATATAAAATTTCCTGTATAAACAGATGTACAAGTATATTTAACAATTTTTGTTTAGCCTTAATTACAATTTAATCTTAATGCACAAAATTCTAGTCATAAACTCTTTTACTTCATATGGAAGGAAACAAATTAATATTTTACTCTTTCAATTCTCATTACTCTTGCAATATGATATTTGTTAAATTCACAATTCACCCTTTTTTACTCAGAAATGTCTCTACCTCATCTGCTTAGTCTACTTTTTACGTCTATGACACACTAAGCCACTGACAAAGAAGCCTCACTTGCCCACAAGCAAGAGCAAAAGGATCGGTCAGAGACACCACCTTTCTCTTACTTGGGTATCAAGATCTGCCACTTACTGCCAGCAAAGCTCTTTAAGACTACCCTTGATTGTCATATTTTTTTTCCACAATAAATGTCCATGCACTTATTATTTAAGTCAAACTTGTATATATATGTATTTCATAAATCAAGATTAAAATGTATGTGATTGCATACCACACGATAAACCAATCAATGTTTAAACAATAAAAAATATAACAGTTTTAATCTGTAATGAAGTATCAGAAAAAACTTTAACTGTCAAAAATACAACACTACTAAGGTATATTTTTCTTATCTAACATTGAATGTGTCAATTAAAGTTAAGTAAAAAAAACATCACATTTGTGCAAAACAGTAATAACTTAGATATTTGGTCTCTAATAGCCCATTTCTATTCAATCGCTACATCATTAGGTTTGACTCTTTTAGATTCTTTATTTGTCCTAGTTCTTCTTAAGCTCTGCCTTTTAGAGTGTTTTGATTTGAGAGTGGCACTTTTGGTGTCCTGTTCTTTAAGGACTTTTTCACATTCATCAGAACGGCACTTCAGTTTTCTAATTTCATAGATAGTATCATCTTTCGAATCATTTTTTGTACTATAAAGACATAATCAATATTTAAAACTGCTTCCTTTTGCTTTTTCTTCTCTTCATCCCAAGAAATATTCAGCTCTGGAGAAGCACATGTAGCTCCTAATTTCTACAACAAACATAAAAATAATTACCCATTTGCCTATATACATATTGTATGTGTGCTTCTGGATTTATGCATATATTAACTTGTACACAAAATTTAGGTTGATTGTAAACTTATCAATTGACCTAGAGGAAACACAGCTCAATTTTGATTAATTATTGACAACTGAAATATTTTTGAACCTATCTAGATTTTAAAAGAAAGTGCATATGGCAGTCTATTTAATATTACATGTATGGGGTGATGTGTTTACATTTGTGTGCGATTACATTGATTACAATGTAGATCTGAAAAGGTACGGTTGTAGTCGACACAGAAAGGGGTTTGTGAGTTTTGTTCCATATAATGTTTCTTTAGTCCACTGTTAAAACAGGTGGTTCTCTTAACATCAGAACTTTGACATTTACAGAGGACCATAAAAGATATGCCATTTTTTCAAGTCTGGGTAATAAAATATTTATCTATAATTTCAGACCAGTGAGCTACAATTTTGAAGCTAGTGTTGACGTACATGTAAATTGGAGACTAATGACTTTTTCCCCATCTTCTTTTGGAGCATTTTACCACTATGTTTACCTGCTTGACCTTGAACATGTTGAGGTGCCCTTTTCTCTGTTCCTCCACAATAATTCTTTCATTTAGCAGCAAGATACTATGGATATGGTAAAAAGCTGTAACAAACAAATTATGAAAAATTAATAACAGGTATGGCTCTCCATAGAAAGAATATACAAAAAAGGAGAAAAGATATACAAACAAGGTGTACTTATGACTAAAGCAAGTAGATAACATTTTACACAATGATAAAATTCTCTGTGTCACCTAGTTAAGAGAATTACATAAAAAAACATATAGTTATATGTATAGATCAAATTTATAGACGACAAAATATGATACGAAACATACCAGGGTTCGAAATTAACTTATTTTAGCACTAGTCCGCACGGACTAGTGACTTCTAGCTTCCACTAGTCTGCAAACTATTCCACTAGTCCGCCCTATAGTATGTAAAAAGATTAACACAAATCTTAAAATTTTTATCAATTTATTCAATGAAATATCAGTTGGAAGCATGTGGTGAAAGAAAGAGGGTTTTCAACTTTGAATTCAGAAATCTCCTCATGGTCACGTCCTATTTTATTGATCACAATGTAGAAAACGCTTTACCACGGTTGAGTTTCTCGTTTATTTTCAAACGTCTAAGAGACTCGGAAATAAAATTAATAAAATGTGAACAGATTCAAGACTTATATTCGGATTTGCACTAGTCCGTGCGGACTAGTACCTTACAAAGTCTGCTAGTCCGACACAATTTTTACTAGTCTCGGACTTACGGACATGAGTTAATTTCGAACCCTGCATACATAATGGTACCGTACTCCGAGCACATGGAATTCGAAGATTTACAAAATTTACGAAAATACAAATAATAGCATTTACAGCATTTAACATATTAAGACATACGTATCTATAGTTTCAGACCAGCAAGCTACAGATTTTGTGGATGTACATGTAAATTGTGGACAAGTACCTTTTTGCCATCTTTTTTGAGCATTTTACCACTGTCTTTACCTGCTTGACCTTGAACATGTTGAGGTGCCCTTTTCTCCGTGTTCCTCCACAATATTTTATTTCATTTAGCAGAAACATACTATGGATAAAAAAAATATGAAAAATCAATAACAGGTATGGCATTTCATAGAAAAAAATATACAAACAGATGTATTTATGATTAGAGCAGGTAGATAACATTCATACAATAATAAAATCCTTAAACTTTTGTGATCTAGTTCAGCGAATTATTTCAAAAACATATGATAATATGTATAAGATCAAATTTAGAGACGAAAAAACATGATACGAAATAGATGTACATAATGGCGCACCATACTCGGAACACATAGAATTTAACTTTACGAAAATGCAAAGGTTAGCATCTACAGCATTCAACATGCAAGTTATTGGGATAATGATCAAGCGATTTAACATAAAATAAAATATATTAACAACTTACATTGTAGATAGCAGGGGTTTAAAGTTCCAGTAAATGTGGCAATCTCATACACAACAAGTCGTACAACAAATGATTAGTTCGTATCTCAAACTGGGTAGCCAAATATCTGGTCATGTCACTTTAAGAAGGAAGGCTCAGCAAGTTCGATGTTGTCAGATCATTCCCATAGATACTTCAAATATTTCTGGCACAATTTCTGAAAGAAAAGTTGTATCTTGAAGGTTTTCTTTCCAAATTAGGATTAATTCTGATGAATGTAAAAATTTGAAAAGTTTACAAATGACAGACGAATACCAGACACTGATCAGAAAACTTGCTTGGGTCTTAAAATAGCTCAGGTGAGCTAAAAAAAATTCAATCATGTGATTTTATTGATCTTATCAGAAAATTTAAGAAATCTTACCTTTGTGTTAATTTTCATACTGGTTTTGTCCTTCTTGTGAGTATTCGGATTCCTGTAAATAATGCATGTATAATTGTGCATCATAGAATATGATAGCTATTTTTAATAATTCATGCTTAAGTATTTAACAGGTCCAATCCAAAGACTATATTTACCTACGTAACTATTAATAGCTACCTAGGTATCTAAAGCTACCCAAAGTAGCTATTTTTACCTACTTTTTATAATTTCTGCATTTTGCGGCACAAAGACCAAACGACGCAACATGGTGAATATCATATCTTTTGATACAGTCACACTAATGATGAATACGACAAACTTTTGGCCAAAAAATGATTACTTCCTGAATCGGCAACTTTACATTAGTTTCTATAGTTCTTATATATACGAAGTAATCATTTTTTGCCAAATTTTTGTCATATCCATCATCAGTGTGACTGTATTAAGAAATTTTGTGCTCACCATGTTGCGCCGTTCCTGCATTTGACCACAAAATGCAAATAAAGCAGAAAGTAGGTAAAAATAGCTACTTTGGGTAGCTTTAAATATCTAGGTAGCTATAAGTTGCTACGTAGGTAAATATAGTCTTTGGACTAGACCTGTTTAATGTAATTTCGAATTATTTCATTCGGATTATTTTCGGAATAATTAATTTAAAGAATTAAAAAAAATAAGCAACTAAGTCTCCTTACATGTATTTGTAGCTCAGTAGAAAAAAATGTTGCCTTAGATCTCTGCATATTTTGTGAGTATTTGGGTAAAGATTTTGTTTATAAACTCATTAAATAAGTTATTCTATTTTCTGTTAATTATTTCTTCTTATCTATTTGTTTGTTATTTGTTTGTTTATTTATTTTTGTGTTTGTTTGTTTATTTATTGGTGTAAACAAGGTTGCATGTACTGGCAGGGGTTAGATGAATTTTTTACTGGGTTAGTTGGCGCATGCCCAAAGGGGTTAGTCGCCGCCGGGTGTCGACTAACCCCTTTGGGCATGCGCCAGTTGAGTTAGTTAAAAATCCTGTAGTAAATCCATATTCAATGTGTATTCGGTCTGTATTGTTAATCAGTCCACACAATGTACGTAATAAACGGTAATTAACACGGTAGAAGTGTTGTTTACTGTCACGATGCGCTTAAATCCTAAGTATTTCATTCCAAGTATCCATGAATGAAGACTAGACCCGGGTCCCTACACCATGTGCACATGCCGATCTCCCGAAGAAAATAAATCACGGAACAAGAGAACGAAAATACATACCAATGCATATTCATCACGATAACTGAAAACATATAGTCGTAAGAACGATTAAATCCAACAAATAGCCAGTGAAACGCGGCGATGTCAACACTGCCAATGCACTGCAAACAACTCCTGTTCGACGTCATTTTTCGAAGTACGACGTCACAGGTACACTGTTTTCCCGAACTTTCTCTCTGTATCAAAATGGCGTATAGGCATTGTACGTAATATAAGGTATTCTGTCACTAAGGTACATCATTTAAACATTATTTTTTTAGCTGAACGTTTTCCTTTACTTGGACAACCAAATATCACAAGAGGAAATGAAAGTGAAAAGTGTTTAGTACAAAAAACAGGCTTTAAAAATTGCAAGATCCAGGATCCGCGCACTTGTTTCATCTCCGCTAAGAGGTGCAGTTTTAGTGTGCACATCTCAAGTTTTCGATCTATTGTGACGTAGGCCTATCACTCGGGGACAGAATATTTAAAATGAAATGCAGTATGTCTATAGATCTGCAAGAAGGTAATAAAGGCTAATAAGGTGTTGAAAATATTTCTTGTATCTTTCTTTTGATTTAGATCCAATTTATTCATCATTCATAATTATAATGTTTTGATAAAAGGAGGGGATGAGACAATATTCTTTTTTCTCATAAATACTGCGTGGCATTTAACCCCTACCTCCGTATTGACAGAAATATTTTTTTTTTTTATCAATTTTGTATTATTTAAATTTAATTTTATTTTTTGCCGACTTTGAAATAAATCATGTGGTGTGTGTGTGTGTGTGTGTGGGGGGGGGGGGGGGGGGCATATCGACGCTTACGGAAAGAAAAATTTAATGGATCAAGACAGCGTTTAAAATCTCGGACATTTTCAGGTAGAACACTGCACTTTTCGGCAATGAAACAGGATTGAAAGCCCAATCTATGAAAACTTTTAAGGAAGATCACGAACTGCGAATAAATCACTGACATCCAAATAAATGGATCTCTCTCTTTCTGAGGCACATACAATATTGTTAGTGTTGTGAACTTTCGCCCATTTTTTAGATAGAACTTTTAGTAGCAGAATTGACATGATTGAAGACTTAACATATGAAAAATTAAAGGAATTAAATCATAAATAAATCACTGAAATCCAATTTCTGAGTTTTTAAAATCTACCAATGAAGCAACTGTATAATAAAATTTCCCCGACTTTTAATTTAGTGCATGCACATTAATAAAATATGGCGAAAGAGTATGCTCATTGAACTATTTTACCTAGACTTTGTACTACATGTTAACGTGTATGTGCAGATGGATTTTTATATTTTTTATCAATATTTTGCAATAAATATACTTTTAAATTCTTGGAAAACATGGAATTGCCGCACATGTATAGGTAAATTCCGGAAATAGTAAAAAAAAAAAACTGTCGGAAATGAAATAAAAATATGTCGGAATGCTATGCAGATTTTGAAAATAAAATGCAAACGAGGGGCCGTGTCCCCATTAATTTTGGTGATATCTTCTTCCTTTTGTTGAATGTACTCTCAGTTTGGATATTTAGTATACTTAGTATTATAGAAAAACAAAGAAACTAGACGCTGGTGTTTTGTAAAGAAATTTTTAGTAGTAGAAAGTCCCCACAACTCCTGAAAAAATGTGCACCCCCTCCCAATGGAATTGCTTCATGCAGGCCTGTATCAAGTACTGTTAACCAATATGGGGACATTCATTTGTTTAAAAACGCTGTGCGTACATGTAACGACAGCAAATGATTTCAGCAACCGGACAGGCATCAACAGATCAGTTTCGATATATAATGTACATAAATACCTAGTGATTTGAAGTAATGCAGCGCCATATGAGAAATTTACGTTCTTTTTCAATTTCTGAACTAAATAAAATCCTGAAACAGTATACAAAACGGTACAGTATTATTTCAACATACTGTCTTTCTTACTGACGAATCTTTTGCAAACGAAGTCGAGAACGAGAAGTTATATATAACTTATAAAGCTGTGCATGCTTTGCTGTAATTAGATGCTACGGACAGACACGTAGCATCAGGGGTTTTTCGTCAAAACTTTTTTCTATTGAAAATTATCATTTATAGACCGGTTGTCCCCCCCCCCCTCCCCCCCCGTTTTGGTGTACCACAGCCAAATAAAGGTAATATAGTATTTATACGAAAAAATTAAGTACTAAAAGAAGTTCAATGCCCCTCCAAGTTTCAATTATTTACTTTTAAGTTTTTTTTATCAGGTAAGTTGTATACACCCCCCTCCTTGTAAAAAACGATGCTTCGTCCCTGATGGGTGAAATAGAATCAAAATTTAAAATCAAAGAAGAAGTCTACAGTATGTGCCAGAGTAAGTATGACTTTCTTGAAATAAAAACTCTCGTTAAATTATTATGAGCATAATTATATTGAAAATTATAGCAGACACACGTATTTCCCTCGATGAGAGAGAGAAGCTGAGAGATATTCCATCATGTTTGGGGAAAACCCAGGAAGATAATCTAATAATAATTTGTAGGATTTACTTTAAACTATTTCAATGATAACGTGTTATTTCAGCAGCGACCTGAATACTGTAAGTCAAAGATGACAGCTTCAAAAATTCGTTTCGGAACAAATACTAATGTAGTACACAAATGAAAATCTATAGAGAGTATTTCGTCTTCTTTGATTTACTCTGTCCATCAACCAATCAGCTTAATAAAACAGTTGACCAATAATCGAGGACAATTAGAATGGAGAGAAATGAATTGAGAACGTCCAAATTCCTTGAATACGCATGCTCGGCCGCCACGGCCGTGCATTCTGGGAAAACTGTGAAATCTATTACAGATAGAACGTACGATAACAATTTCGTTGTATCATGTTGTAGCATGAAATAACTGTTTATTTATTGTGTAGCTTACAGTTTAAAGATAACTTCATATTTACAATATTTAAAATTCTGGGGGTTTTGTTTGCTGACGGAAAAGCCCGAGTCATTATCTGATTCTTCAATGAATCAATTAATCAATGACAAGGGAGTTTTTTTTTTTCATCTATAAGCACAACCAAAGATAGATTCTAATTTCTGATTGGTCAATTCAGCCAATCTTCCAAATTCCAGAAACAGAAGCAAGAATTTACACTAAAAATAATGAATAAATTCACTATTTGCGTTTAAAAAATTCTGATGTGTATGGCTTTTAACCTAACATATCTTGACAAAGATGACCCAAAGGACCAATTAAGCTACTTCACATGCGTTCCAAACTCTCTGGACTCTTTACACAACATACACTTTGAGTTATTTTCTATATTCCTTTCAACTCCCGTGTATTTTCTTTGCTTAATTGCCAAGCAATTCTCTTCTTTAAATCAGCTCATACATGCAATGTCTCAATCGGCATCCTCTTCATATTACATACATGTATATAGAGCCCCCCCCCCCCCTCCTCCAGTAAAGGTTATATATGTTCCGTTGCGCCAAAACTCTAATATTATAGGTCACCCACCCACCCGTGTTTCTTTACTTATGTGTCTATAAAATACGCTTCACAAAACAATAATAACTTTATCACTCTCCAGCCTCGATAAAAATTAAAGAATTCAGCAAAATAAATCACTTGATCACGGATCTTCCTTTCTGTGTTTAAAAATTGCTTCGGCGCTAGCTCACCTATCTTTTTAAAAGATAAACTTGTAATATATATATTTTACTTGATATTTGCGTGGACCCTGAGGTCCACGCAGCTGCGCAGTAAATATATAAGCGAGGTTAAACCGGATGCCATGGGCAAACGACAGGCTACGCATGCGCGAGT